CTTTTTTTGATGAAAAAGTGCTTCCGGTGAGCTTTTCTGGGTAGAAAGCTCACCGGAAGGACTTTTTCATCAAAAAAAGATGGCGGCGCCAGCGCTTCCGGTGAGCTGGCGCCGCCATCTTTTTTTGATGAAAAAGTCCTTCCGGTGAGGTCACCGGAAGCACTTTTTCATCAAAAAAAGATGGCGGCGCCCAGCTAATGCCGGTACCGGGCCGCGCCATAAAAAAGGTTGGGGATACCGGGCCGCGGTATAAGAAAGGTTGGGGATCACTGATGTAGACGGTGCATTTTAGGTTGCATCTAAAAAACGCTTATTTAGGAACAAGTTGTAGGAAATATCCACAGAATAATTCTAGTTCTGTGGGAGAATAGGTAGAAGAAAAAGCAAGAATTAATGATTTCTTCCATATATATTTTTTTGTCCCCTTTCAAGGTTTCAAGACTTTCCTCTCCCATCATTGCTATGAGGGGACAGTGTCTTTCTTACCAGCAGCACAGGCCGTGGGGTCTCCAAGAGATAAGAAACCCTGCAGAACTGGGTAGGCTAAATCACTCAATTCACCTCGAATGCCTGTGCAGTAGAAAGACAGGAATAGATTTGCTAATTTGGCTAAATTTTAAGAATGTTAAAAAAAAGAAAAGAAGTTGAGTGAATCATGCAAAGGCAGGGGCAACTTTAAGACTTGTGGACTTTAAGACTTGGCAACTTTAAGACGTGTGGACTTCAACTCCCAGAATTGGAGTTAAGGATTCACAAAGGTGATTCTAAATCATCAGGCATGAAATTTTCAGCTTATCTAAATTACATTTGAAATGCTACTTATTGACAGTATCATGCAGCAAAGTGAATGGCATCAAATCCATTTTGTCTGCAGAGAAGTCGTGTGTGTGTGTGTGTGTGTGTGTGTGTGTGTGTGTTTGTGTACACATACTACGAAAACTTTCATGCTTCTCCATGTGTAGCCCTGGGCAAAACAGTCTATCTTAGAGCGAAATGTTTTGAACCAAGGTACCTCAGGTGAAGTAACTTATTGGAATGCATTCTATAAGTCCAGAACTCATGGCTCCTATGGAATTGAAATTGGGAAAATTTTATAAAACATTTTATGCCATACAAATTATCATAAAACATTTTGTGACATAATAGGAAACATTTCCTCTGATTCCTAATTGACTGTGATATACAGTTCAACGTGGGCTATTTTCAAAACCAATGCATCTCTGAATATCTCCCTGAATTTTTAACAGTTTTTCCAAATGAAGGCAGTGCAGTAGAAGCTCTGCCATGGCTGAAGCTGGTAAGGAAATAGCTCTGAAAGAAAGACTCAGTGAGCCACGGGGTGTCCTGTTGATTAATTAAATTAAATTTAAATTTTACATTAATTAAAACTTAAATTAATTTTTCAATACCTAAGTTATATTTTCAGCACTGAAGTTGTTACCTTTTGTTCTTTAGGTGCGGGATTTGCAAGAAAAGTAAACTACAGCTGGAGAAAGATCAGCAGAAGACGGAAAAGGAGATTAAAAGTAACTTTATAGTTTGTGGAACCTTGTTTGTTAATAGTTAGATTTGTTCAGTTAGTTTCTAATACCTCTTTTATTTGGATGATGAGTATAAAGACAGATTCCAAATCAGAATAAGAAAAGATTGAATTTAACTGCAGTAGAAGCCCAAGGAAAATTCAGAGGGGTTTATAATGAGACAGGCTTTTTTCAGATTTATCCTGTTTATAATTATTCATGATCATTCAGTACAAATGCTGATTTATGTCAGACTCTGCAGTTGGTACAAGTGTAAGAACAGCATGCCAAGGCATTTCCCCTCCAAAATCCCTCGGTGCACTTAAGAATGGACCTCAAATCTGGCGAAACACTAGTAAATAGTATCATTCTTGTGATTGTTCTCCCAGTCGGGCAGAAAGAGTTTTAGCAGCGTGGATGTATCCTGCATTTAATCTTTCAATATCAGCAGCATTCACATAAAGCATATTGCAGAATGGTGTAAACCTATTGTGGCAATTGTCTAGCTTAGCTTGAGGCATAAAGCCTCCTGAGTCCCAGCTGGGTCTTCTTTTCTTGCCCTGCACAGGAGAACTGAGCTGGAAAGCAGGTTAGTGGGGTGGGGAGGGATTTTGGGGATTTTGCAGTGACCTTCCCCCAGGAGTGGGGAGGGAATGGAGAATTTGCAGTATCCTTCCCCTGCCACGCCCACCAAGCCACAGCCACAGAACTGGTAGTAACAAAATTCGAATCCCACCACTGGTCTGGGAGATAGAAGGTTGGGAAAATTGCCATCCGTTCCTTCACCCTTTATGGAGTCCACAATGTCTTAAAACATGTCTCAAAATCCAGATGATACCAACATGCAACTATATCTCTTTCAGGGGATGAGGAAGGAGAATGGAAAGTCATCCGAGGGAAGTTTCTAGCCATCAATGCTGTGAACATTAGCTGTGCCTGTCCACGGAGTCCTAAAGGCCTTTCACCAGCTGCTCACCTGGCAGATGGCTCTGCAGACCTCATTCTAGTTCGTAAATGTTCCCGGCTAAACTTTCTAAGATACCTCTTAAGGCATACAAACCAACATGATCAGGTGCGTGTTTTTCTCTCTTTAACAGTATGATATCTTCACAGTTGGAACAGAGGCACAATCTGATGTAGATTAATAGACTTGTGGTGAAACAAAAAAACAGGACACTTGCATAACTTACAAGAAGTAAGGATAAAAAGCTAGACTTTCTGGAACTTACAGGTCAGAGAACGCTTCATTCCATCATCCTCCAGTAAAGCGTCCTTCTCAGAGAGAGGGAGATTAATTGATTGGTTATTTGCACTGATGCCGCTTAGTTCTTATCACTCCATGGACGGGGCTATATTTTATTTATATATTTATTCCTTTCTTTTTTAACCAACCAACTCAACCCAAGTGACTCTGGGCAGCTTACAATTCTAAAGTTATAAAACAAAACAATTGCAAATCATTGAAACAATAAAAACACCCACAAGATAAATAAGTACAAACATCAGCCGTGATGATTAATCAAGTAATAGTTAAGACAACAGGGCCCTTAGGCCTGACTACGTAGCTAAATTTTTAAAGCCTTGTGAAAGGCCACCGGAATTGGGACCACTTTCATCTCTGAGGGGAGAATACTCATTAATAAGGCAAGAGCTACAGCAGAAAAGGCCTGTCTTTCAGTCCCCTCTTTATAAATTACATATATGGAGGAATCAAAATAGGCCCACCAAGAATGACAGCTCAATCTTTAACCAAGAGCGGGATGTGAATAACATCTCTTTGATACTATTTAAGGAAAACTCTGAGTCTGCAGGGAGTGGGTTCAATGCTTCTATTGCATTCCAAGGCCAGAGATAAATTTAGACATGGAGAAAAGAAAACAACACCCAGACTGAGAATTAGGGAAGCATTATCTTCTCAAGATATGAAATCTGTATTTGGTTTTGGAAAACAGTAGTTTTGGAAACCATGGTTTCCAAAGGCATCCTGGAACATTCTATGGCTGGCTTCTCATTGTTGGTTCACAATGCAGGGGCATTTTGCTAGTTATTAAGAGCAAGTGCAGTAAATCTGAGCAACCTCAGGCTGATAAGAGAAAAGTAGGAAAAAAATGAACCCATTCAAGGGGAAAGTAGCTATCATTATCCAGATTTGTTATGTCGCAAGGAACAATGTACGACTGAAGTTTGCATAGCAAATTATGAATTCTATATAATTTAGTGAAGAATTGATGGAGCATCAGTTAAAACTGAATCTATAATAGGGCAGGTTCTAGAAATAATAACCAATGGTAGTAAATAATAGTAGAAATGGTAGTAAGCTTTCATAATGTTTTCTTTCTCTTAATGTTCTCCGGATAGCATTAGACTGAATTTCACAGCTTTTCTTCTGTAAAATGGGGCATAATATTATTCATAGAATTGTAGGAGAAAATCTAAAGTTACCTTTATGTAAAATACCTATTCTACAGGTAGTTCACAGAGTATGAACACTTCCATTCCTTAATTGTCTTTAACCCAAATTTGTATTTAAGTTGGAAGAGTTTTCTGTACTTGTACTTCTTCATATCAAGCAACAATGTTGTTTTCAAAGCTTTTTGTAAAGCTTAAACTTATAACTGTAAGTTTTATACCTTAAAAGTGAGCTAGGTGGGAAACAGACTTCCAGCAAAAGAATACTCTGGAATTTTATTTCTCACCATCTTGAGAAACTGCTGGAATTCAATCTGTCACTTTCCCTGCAGGCAAAGTGATCTGATTCAAAATGGCGGATGGCATACTCCTTCCTGGAGCCAACAAACCACTGAAGCCACAGAGTGCATCCAGGAACTACTGAAAACAGCTGTGCACTTTTTAAATGATGCTGATGAAAGCATTGCACAGCTTCCAAAGTTCATCAACTCAAAAGAGAACGCCATCTGCCATTTTGTGTTGTATCACATTGTTGGTCAGATGCCCACCATTTAAAATACTGTAACAGGTGAGCCATCTGCTATTTTGTAACAGGTGAGCCATTTCATATCTAGGGGTTTCTTCAAGTTAATTCTTTCTTAAATGGGGACTGCCTCTACTACTTTAGTGGCATTCAACCAGTTTAATGCAGCTCAGGTGAAAATTGTAGCAAATGCAAAAAAAAATCACCTTCATTTATAGAAATAATTTTGTATGCACCATATAGTTTATTCTACAGATAAAGAGAAGGTTGTTAAGAAAATTGAATTTTACAGCACAATCATCAGAATCTAGAGTTAGATATGCTTAAACCTATTGAATGTCTGAATACGCCTAACTGTATTTTTACATTATAGTGCTGAGTGTCATTTTAAACAAAATTTAGTTAAGTGCTATTTAGACAAAAAAAACCTCAAAAACCTGACATGTTTTTTTGACAATTTCTAAGGCAACAAAGGCTGTAATTTGCTTCCTACAATTTCTCTACAGTTTGATTTCAGCTTTGTAGAGGTTTATCGGATTAAAAAGTTTCGTTTTACATCAAAGCATTTTGATGACGGTGACAATAATGACCAGGGTATGCGGAAAAAACACTTTGGTCAGTTCTGTAGAGACCACCCAGCTTGCTGCTGCCTCCCACCCAGCAGCACCTGGAACTGTGATGGAGAGACCCTGGATTGTTCAACTATTGAAGTCAAGTGAGTATCTTTCTTTTTAAAAATGAATCTATGAATAGAAAGAGATTAGAGTGCAATTCACACATTAATCCTTTCCCTAACAGGCCTTAAAATTGACAGTGTGCTTCCACTAAAGATAGAGATCTGGTAGGGTTTTTTTTTTGTTTTCTTTTACATATGCATAGCTGTGCACTCCTAAAAAAAGGTTGTAATCTTCTCACCTAAAAAATGTCAACAGGTTTTATTAAACAGAACTTTATTAAACAGACTATTTATTGCCTTCAATAGCAGTTCCCAAGAAGGTAGAAAGGTTTCCATGATTAGGGAGCAGAAAAAAAGGTTAAATCTTTTTTTTTAAAAAAAAAAAAAAACATCTTCCCAGCCAGAGTTCTCAGTACATGATAAAAAGAGAATATGATGGTTTGTTCAACCAAACATGGTTAAACAATGCCTAATTAGTTCTGTGGAATTCCTTACTACAGAACCTGGTGACTGTCACTGATGTAAATAATTTTGAAAGGAAATTAGATAAATTCACAGAATGAAGACTAATAAGAGCTACTGAGCTTAAGACTCAGGGTTGGGAGCAACCTGCATCCATGGGCTTGTTTCAAATAATACAGTGAGATATATATTATAATTTACAAATTCTAGGCAAAATCCCAAGTAATTCTATATCTGACTTATACCTGAACTACTTGGAGGCTAGAGACCAATCTAAAAGGTAACAAGAGATATACAGATGTATGTGAAGAGATCTTCTTTTTGGCTAGATGATTCCATTTATTTATTATGGCATTTCTCCAAATAAAAAAAATACACTAGGAAAAAACACAAAACATAGCTGTACTTGCTATCTCAAATTGCCATTGTGAACAGCTTCTTACACTGAATAATTGAGAGGATTTTGTTCTTATTAGTGACTGGAAGATTAGAATTGATATAATTTTATCATGTGAAGATTTTACAATTTCTTACATTTGCAGAGTTCACTGCCAATTAATTAAACTCTTTGCAAGAGGAATAGAAAAGAATCACAAACCTGAATCACCTTACAAGCAACTTACCTGAGCAATTAATTAAAGTCAACACTGCAAGAACATGAAAGAAAAAAAGCAACATACAGACAAGCATTTCTGGCATGTTAATAAATGTTTTTAAACTTTATTTTTCTGGTCAAATTTTAATTTTGGATATATTTCTTTTCAGTTAATGTCTTCAAAGACAGTGGATTGTTTTAAATTATTTTATGGTAGGACAGGGAAGACGATTTTTGGCTTGTATTTCCTTTCTTTTGTTATGAATGGATTCTGTTTTCTCTGCTATGTTTCTAAGCTGGATGCTCTTTCTCTTAGTTCAGGATAAAAAATCAGATTATTATTGTTATGGTCCCTCACACAGTTAGCTCGATGTTCTGACTGGATTTGCATTTTTGTCCACCTGTCAACTCTTCCCAAGAACCTGGGATAGGCAGATGTGGATGTTTGATATAGGTATTAGAGGTATTGTCACAGGATGTAAGCTGTTCTGAGCAAAGCTGCTTTTTGCAATTGACTGATTATTGTCTGTTCACAACAATGTGCAGTCAGTTGCCAGCTCTTTAGTTGATGCTTCATATTGAGTCCTTCTGCTGTTCATTATTATTTAGGCCTAGAAGTGTAGAACTAGAGAGACAGTTATCTTCATCTTCTTACAATATAGTATCAAGAGTGGATTGGTGAAAGAGAAATGGAAAAATGTACAATTCTTCTCCAGCCTGCTCAATTGCCTATTCAATCCAGTGGTGGGCTGTAACTGGTTTAACAACTGGTTCAGTGAGTGTGCGCTTTGCGCACACGCGCAGCCTTCAAAAACCACCCATTTTAAGCTTTAAAACTTACCTTCTATGTCAGCACTGGTGAGTAAAACAGCTGAGGCACGGCAATCCACTGTGCCGCGCGAATCAGCTGGGCTAAAAAACAGGGAAATATAGGACAGGAAAGGAAAGGGGCAGGTGGGTGGAGCCAACTGCTTACCGGAACTACCAGTAGCAGCCCACCACTGCCTACATCAGGGCTGTCAAACTTGGGGGCCTGCGGGCCAGATGCGTCATGTGCTGCCCATGCCCGGTTTAGCAAAGGGGGGGGAAGTCACGATACGACGCCGTGATGATGCGAGTTTGACACACCTCGCCTACATGAAAGTTCATTCATGCGTATAGAATTCTTTCTTACTTATGGCTACTAGATGAATGGCAAGTTATTAAAGGCAAGCCTGCAGATTTGGTACAAATTTTGCCACTGATGTCAGGGAAAAGGATTATTATGTATGTTTGCCACCTTGAGTTACTTATAAAGTAATAAAGGTGGCATTTAAAAAAAAATCAAATATATATGGCTTTGAACTTTTGGATTATAAATACAGATAGTGGGCATTCTGCTTGCAGCAGAGGCTGACAAAACTTTTTATTCTTTTAAGGAGATTTTGAATCATGGTGTATGACAGGGCTGTCAAACTCCTGGCCCACGGGCTAGTTGTGTCACGCACTGGCCACGCCCATGCTCAGTTTAGCGAAGGGGAGGAAAGTCCCAATGCGTCACATGATGACCCTGTGATGACGTGAGTTTGACACTCCTGGTGTATGATTTAAAATATGATAGTATCCTATCATTAATCTCGTTTTCTCCTGAAATGACTATACACTCCTTCATTGCTCGAGCTATTTTGCATTAGCAAGCTCAGCGCAGTCCAAATGCACGTTCTGGGTTGCAAGTAATAGCAAACATCCTATACATATATATATATATATTTGTTCGGGTATTTTCCCACGTCATTATAGTTGTGCTTTTAAAGTTG